GATAAAGTTTTTGAATGCACAGAGCATAGCGCCGATCGAAATTCATCGTCAGCTGTGCCGGGTCTATGGGCCTAACGTTATGAGCAAGCAGATGGTGCGTCGCTGGTGCAGACAATTTTTAGCGACGGGCCATTTAGAACAAGCGGCGCGGGATGGTCCCACGGTATGACAAATGTCTCAATTCTGGTGTTTAATATGTTGAAAAATAGCTAGACACTTGCTGTATCTGTTGCAATAAATATATCCATGAAATTGTGTTTTGTTTCTGTAAACGGCCCCAGGGAAACTTACTTTTGGGACGCGCCTCGTATATCGTGTTTTCTACGCCACGTTTCCCCGACACACCTCTCACCAGCAGACATGCCACGCACTCCACTCGGTGGACGAGACCTTCGTCTGACTCAGGACGAAGTGACAGCTTTGACGTCAAATGACGTATAGTCAGTATGCAGGGTTGGGGAGGAGGGTTATTCCTTGAAAGCAGATCGATTTCCACATTATTTATACGTTGAAGTTCATGCTCAGTGACTCGGATATCTGTGGGCTATGAGAACATGACATGACGCCCTGCGGAGAGGCTTCATACGCGCCTGATTAACAAGTGAAATGATATAATCTCGTCATAACGTCCACTTTCCAAGTCCACGTCTAACTTGATTTTCACCAGAAGTGCTCTTACTAACGGTTCGTTCCAAAGCAGAGAGAGAAGTTACCTCCGTCAGACCATGTTTTCAGTAGACTCCGTTCAGTTCGTATCTTCATACACTAAATATCTTAAGCTTCCAAAGGGACATAGACGTATTATGTTTGGGAGTAGGGTGCTAAGGGGGATGTCTAATCTCAAGGGAAAGAAAGCAAAAGAATGGTGAATTTCCAAAATATGTACTTTTCACCAGAAATAATTAAAGGCGATGGAAGTTTGAGAATGTGATATGGGCGGGGTTATAAGCACGCATGGAGAAATGGGTAACACAAAAATATTTTGTCAAAAGACTTGAAGTAAAGAGATCACGTAAAGACCTAGACATAGATGAGGATAATATTAAAGTGGGCATAAAGTGAATATTTTGTGACAGGATAGACTGGAATAACCTGCCTCAGGATAGAGTCCAGTGGCAGATTCTTCTGAGGATATCAATCTGTATTTGGGGTCTATAAAATACAGGAAATATCATAAGCAGCTGATGGACTTTAAGTTCCTGATGTGCCCTGCTGCATGGAGGAAATTGTACCTCCTTATGAAACACTCAGATGGCAATTATCGTAATGTAAAAAGGCGCTTAAAATTAACCAAAAGTGAAATTATTTCTGAAATTAGTATAGGGGGTGCTATTCGAAGCTTGGACTTAAGTTAGTTCTATAGACTAAACACTGCTAAACGACACAGGAGGATTTAAGGAACATATATGGGCTTTAAAATTTGATTTCAAAACTCACCAAAGATGGCGTCTTCTACTTGCGTCTCACGTTTAATACGTAGTCGTTCTGTCTGTCTGCACCTTCATTCTGAAAAAAAAGGAGAGTGAAGATAGTTATTGACAGCCCAGTTTTAAAGTAGTTTGTTTGCTGTTTATTTATACTGATATTTAACATATTTTTTATTTTATTTAGTGTTCTGTCTGACGACAGGTCCATATGAACAGGATCCTTCCATCCTTTTCTCGGACTGGGACCTGTTCATATACGTTCTTGGCAGATGATCCAGAAGTGGTTTGCCATTGCCTTCTTCTGTGTGTGAATGGAGTAATTGTTGGGATGCCACGGAGAAACCGGGGAAGCCCCCGGAGGAAAACTCCGTGTTGCCTAGACCACGGCCTTGCCCAACACAAGTTATATATTCGGGCACCGCCGGGAATCGAACCCGAGACCCCAGGATTACAAGGCCAGCGTTCTAACCTCTAGACCACCGTGGATTTAACATATGAGACACATTATTTACATTATACACGCAGGCCAGAATTAATTCAAACAGCGTTTTGTAAATATGTATCCATGTTTTATTTAGGCCCAGTGCCATCTACATGTCTCACCCACTTTAACTATCAATAAATCATTTGTAATTGTGTGTTTCATACAATTGTCACTGTAAACAGCGACTATTTCCTTAAATAGCATTAACCAGCTAATTTTTGTAATGGTGAATTTCTGTGTTTTCTTTGAGGTACGAACTGGATGTTATTTAGACGAACTCCGGCTTCATAAGTTAAATACAACTATTACAGGCAGTAAAAAGGAACCGCGGCGGTGAATCGAAACACTTATTCCTGACTCTCAAATGATGAATAGCATTTCTGTCCACAAACGTCTATGGGGGGCTAAGAGGGGGAGACGCATTCTGAATTATTTATAAGGCAAACGAATAAAAATAAACAATGTTGTCTTTTTTGTTTTATACAACTGGATATAATATACGTGCTTGGTTTAAAAAGGCGTGAAACGACGATCCGGTGGCGAATTTATTCTACGTATCTCCCCTGTGAGTTGAAAAAGGACGAGGCGTTCGGATTGTCGCAGCAGTGGCAGAACTAGTAACTACAGACGCGAAATTTTTCGCCGAAAAAGCGAGAGCCCATTTGCAGTGAGGGCTTGAATATTTATGAAACTGAGTAAGCAAAATACTTCTAATTGTAGTCGTAGAATAATTACAACAAAAGTGGACAGTAACATTAACATTCTCTTATACAATTAAATAAAAACATTATATGAGTGAAATCGATAAGACATTTTTCTACAATTCACTGACGTACAGTAAATTCAATTGAATAATAATAATAATATTATTATTATTTGAACATACAACACAGCTCTTATTCAGCATCTCCCATTTTTACAAAATTAAGTGCTCATATGTTCAAAAGATTCGAAAGTTTTTAGTTAATTCGAAATTATGTTAAATTACCCCTCTTTCTAAGTTCCGAACTATGGAGCTTCGGAATCAGAGTGCAAAGCTGAAAATATATCAGGTTTCACCGTTAGAATGACCTGAATGACCCAGTTTAGACCTCGGTTACATTTCACACGAGACCCCGTAAATATGAGCAGAGGGGAGGTCGGGCTCCACCGCTTCTGAGAACACCCTAGCCACGAGAAATAAATGTGGGTCCATGCAGAAAATTGACGCACGGTCAATGAAGCCGCAGGCTGTTATTTTATTCAGGTGCCCCAAATTCTGTATCAACACGAAATATCAATTTTAATCGTTCAGGGCAGGCGTGTCGAACGCGAGGCACTCTTTGATGTTTTGTGTGTCCCCGAATCAGTTTTCGGATCACAAACTACGTGCGAACCAAAATGCCCCAATTGTAATAAATTATACTTTTCAAAGTCATGTCAAATGCTAAACATGTTCTATATTTGAATTAAATGAAGTGGAAATGAGCTTCACTAATATTCACAATTGTATGTGCTTGTGGAAAAATAGAATAACGAAAAATGCTTATAAAGCTTAAGACTTGAATTACTGAAGGTAGGCGAATTTTATTTTTCATCCTGCTTAAAGGGTGGCGTTACAGTCGCCTCTTTTCTCAACCGATCGTCACAGCCGATGATCTCTGATCTAAGCCTAACCAACGATGATCACTGACAGAGAATGTGGTAAAAGGATTCTTCCTCCAGCACTTGGAACTTTCTGAGGGCCCAGATTTGTAGGCTCCACCCCAGTGAACAGTGGCAAAGTAACAACGTTTTCACCAGGGTGCACATGTACCAATTTATAACAACACAAATATTATATTTAAACAACCATAAGAGCTTTTTCCTTATATTACAGCCTCATAACCAGTCTTAGCCACGGTGGTCTAGCTGTTAGAACGCTGGCCTTGTAATCCTGGGGTCTCGGGTTCGATTCCCGGTGGTGCCCGAATTTATAACTTGTGTTGGGCAAGGCCGTGGTCTAGGCAACACGGAGTTTTCCTCCGGGGGCTTCCCCGGTTTCTCCGTGGCATCCCAACAATTACTCCATTCACACACAGAAGAAGGCAATGGCAAACCACTTCTGGATCATCTGCCAAGAACGTATATGAACAGGTCTCAGTCCGAGAAAAGGATGGAAGGATCCTGTTCATATGGACCTGTCGTCAGACAGAACACTAAATAATAATAATAATAACCAGTCTTACTCTGGCACTGTTCAAGTAAAATCATTGGATATTCCAAGTCCTTTGCTGTCTGTAACAAAAATACGATAAAAAATAGTTTTTATTTGTATGTCTGAATCTGAGAATCTGTTTCGTCGGAAAAGGAATGTATTTGATATCAGAGTGTGAAAATTTTCAAGAATATATCCACTTGATAGAGCAAGAAAGAGTTGGATAGAACTGGCTCAATATCGCTTCGAGTGGAGGGCTTTCATATTAAGGTTCCTCATTTTTCAGACTCCTTGTACTATAAAATATGTAATTTTATATGTTATATCAGATGTTTTTACAATTAGTAAAATATTTAGGAATTTTCAGAAAGGTGGAAAGATAACGTGTTTCAGCTGAACATTTTCGTGTGTGCATCACATCATAATCTTCCTTATTCATGCCACACACAACGCAATATTTTCTCTAACACTCCATAGACACCTTACTCAAAAAATAATTTTATATCAATATTTTTCTCAGTCTCGTATTCACGCAACATAAACGGTTTAATAATGCATAAAGCGATTAAAGTGACCGCCATATCGTTGCATAGGAACGGTTTAATTCCTGTGGCGACCAACTGGGTGTTTAACAACTGTAAACAACAAAATTTATAAACGGTAGTTCATTGAATGTGAACAAGCGTGCTCATTTTAAGTACAGTTTACTTTAGGAATCACCTTGGCGAATGACGGTAGCTGTCGATGTGTAAGATCGTAAACACAGTGCGGCAGTAAACTTGGTGTGTGCTGTACTCGACGTGTTTACTATGAACGGTGTACTTTCTGTTTTGAATTGTGATTAAGAGTTTCGTTCCATTAGCGATCATGACACAGACTGATATCAAATGTAACAGTACGCCTACACATAATAACTTCATATTTGTTCCATTGCGGGGAGCCTGCAATAATCATACGTGCGTCAGTGCAAAGAGTCATAATTTCGAGTCAAATATAAACCCTGCCAGGATTCGATGTACTGCGAACGTAACTAACTCCGTGGGGCAGAGCAGTTTTTTAGAAACCAATCAAATTCCTCGTGTTTTATAGAAAACGAACATTAATTACCGTATTCACAACAGACCGCCTATCTCGAGCCATAAGAATCCAATCAAAATTCTCCAAACCTATTTTCTTAAGATCAACTTTAATATTGTCCTCCAATCTACAACTGTGTTTTTAAAGTTGTCTCTTCCTTTCAGGCAAAAAAAGTTTATACGCCATGCCCCGTCACCTCACTGTCCTTATTGAGACAGTTCTAATCATATCTGGTTCAGTGTGCAAACCTGCATTATGAAGACCAAGCTAATAGAAGACCAGACAAAGTCTTTACCAGACTATTTGCATCGTCAACTATTAATGGGAAATTCAACAAAACCTTTCAGTACTTCCCTGCTGTCAGAGGGCACTCCTTTCTTGTTCTATGACAGGAAATTTGGTCTTATTAAAAAAGTTCTACACAAAATAAATAGGGTGTATACACCCAAAGAGCATCGCTTGATAGCAGAAAAGGGAAGTTTTCAGCAGCCATGAGCAACTTCTGCACGGGTTATAAAGGCCGGTGACCAAACGTTTATAAGAACACCATGTCAGTACAGTCCTATTATACGAGGTGCGATCGGAAAGTTTCAAGACTGTGTCAATAGAGAGCGAACCGGATGTAGTACGAGCTTCTGCCGCTAGGTGGTGCGGCCTACATTCATAATGAATCAGTTTGCCAGCCGGCATCATCGAATTAGCATTTGTTTCTTAGTTACGGGCGTTTTGGTAGTGCATTACACCGACCCTCCTGCGATTTCGGAATGGCGTGTGCATCAAATTTTGCCAAAGACTCGCCAAAACGGCTACGGAAACCTATGAAATGCTAAAGCAAGCATTTGGGGAGTCCGCAAACTTTGGTGTGGCATTCACGTTTTAAAAATGACCGAACCTCTGTCGATGATGACGAGAGTTCTGGACGACCATCTTCGAGCACAACGCCCGAAAATGTTACGAAGATCGACGTCGTACCATCAACGACTTGTGCGACATTGTTGGGACCTGTCAGCTGATTCTAAAGGAAGAACTCCACATGCGACGCATCAAGACAACGTTCCTCTTCTCAAAGATGAAAATTCAGCTAAAGGGAAGGAGATTTGAGACGATAGAAGAGATTCAGGCAGAATCGCAGATGGTGCTTGACAGGCTGACAAAGAAAGATTTCCAGGGATGCTTCCAGGCTTGGCAGCGGCGCTGGGATCGTTGTGTTCACTCCCAGGGGAACTACTTCGAGGGTGATGGATGAATTTAATACCTGAGATAATTGTACGGGTTTTTATAGGCGCAGTCTAGAAACTTTCCGATCGCACCTCGTATATCGGCTTTTACCCAAAAGCCAAAT